ATTATGTTCTGCAAGACACTTGGTATGCATTTCAATCTTCTTAAATTTGTTAAGACTTAGTGTAGCCTCTATGTGGTCTATCCTAGAGAATGATCCATGCATCCTTGAGAATAATGTGTAATCTGCTATTATTGGATGGGATGTTCTATATATGTTTGTCAGGTCCAATTGGTCAATGTTGTTCAAGTCCTCTATCTCCCATGTGGATCTTCTGAATTTCCTATCCACTACTAAAAGTGGAATACTGAAGTTTCCTAGTAATTATTGTGTCCCTTCAATCTGTCAATGTTTGCTTCACATATTTGGGAGCTCTGATGTTAGGTGAATTGACCTTTTTATCATTACAGAATGTAATGAACTTCTTTATTTCTTATAGCACTTTTTGACTTAAAGCCTATTTTGTTTGAAACAAGGATGGCTTCCTGCTCTTTTGGTTACCATTAGCAGGCTTTTTCCACTCTTTTAATTTCACTCCACTTGTGTCTTTCCACCCTGGACCTTGTTTTTTTTAAATCTATTGAGTCAATCTATGTCTTTTGACTGGGTACACAATTTCATCATTTACATTGAAAGTAATTATGACAGGAAAGGAATTACTAATGTCATTTCCTTAACTGCTGCCTGTATATTTGTGTAGTATTTTGTCACTCTTTTCCTTTCTTATGAACTTCTTTTGTGTTGCATTGATTTTTTTCTAATTCCAGCATTTTCTTTATTTATTTTTATGTGGTTACTATGGGATTACATAAAACATCTTTAAGTTATAATATTCTAATTTAAACCAGTAACTTCAACTGCAAACGAAAATTATATTCCTTTACATTTTCAACCACTTTGTTATTTATGTCACAAATTACATCTTTTTATATTGTATATCCATTAACATATTTATAGTTATTTTTGTGCTCAATCTTTGCAATTCTAAACCAGAATTAAAAATGATTTATGTACCAACAAAATATCACAGAATTCTATATTTGTCTTTATATTTACCTTTACCAGAGAGCTTTTAATTTTTGTATGCTTTTGTGTCACTTTTTAGCATCCTTGTGTTCCAAGGACTCCCTTTAGCATTTCTTGTAGAGTAGGTCTAGTGGTGATTAACTCCCTCAGCTTTTGTTTGTCTGGGAATGTCTTAATCTCACCTGCATTTCTGAAGGACAGCTTTGCTGGATATAGTATTCTTGGTTGGTGGGTTTTTTCCCCCTTCAACACTTTGAATGCATTATCCCAATCCCTCTGGCCTAAAAGGCTTCTGCTCAGAATTCTCCTGATTATATATGACAAAGTCACTTTTCTCTTGCTTTTTTAAAGATTCTGTCTTTATCTGTGATTTTGACAGTATGATTATAATGTGTCTTGGTGTGAGTCTCTGGATTTATTCTACTCAGATATCATTAAGTGTCTTGAGTTTGTATACCATTTCCTTCTCAAATTCGGTAAGTTTTCAGAAATTTTTTCTTCAAATAAGGTCTCTGACCCTTTCTCTCTGTCTTCTCATTTAAGATTCACATAATGCATAACTGATATGTTTAACAGTGTCCCATAAGTCCCTTAAGCTTTCTCTTTCATCACCTTTCTCCATTCTTCTTCCCTTTAATTCAAAGTTCAAATGATTCACCTTCACATTTGCCAATTCTTTCTTCTGCTTGATCAGTTTTCCTGTTAAACCCTCCTTGTGAATCTTTTAATTCTGTTATTTCATTTTTCATCTCCAGAATTTCTGTTTGGTTCTTTTTTATAGCATCTCTTTATTGATATATTTTCATTTTACTCATGCACTGTTTTCTTGATTTTGTTTACTTATCTGTGTTTCCTTGTAGCTGACTGAGAATCTTTTAGAGAACTATTTTGAATTCTTTGTCAATTCATAGATCTACATTTCTTTAAAATTGGTTTCTGGAGATTTATTTTGTTCCTTTGGGTGGGCTATTTTTCCCTGTTTCTTTGTATTCCTTGTGATCAGTTGTTGAAATCTGATTATTTAAAAAAACAACCACTTCTCCCAGTCATTATAGACTGGCTTTGTGTGGGGGAAAACCTTTACCAAACAGCCACGCTAGAAATTTTGGGGGTCTCGCAAATCTTTTCTGGGGATGTGTCTTCTCTGAGCTTGTGTGTGTAATTTCCAAGTTGAAGGCATTTACCCCTGTTCTCAAAAGGCTGTAGTATCTTGCTTCCCCTGATGTCTGCAGTACTGTAGCATCTCTGATGCTGTAACAAGCCACAGCACTTGCCTTGTTCTTTGAGGACCCTGACCTGGTATCTCAAGTGTACTACCATTTCCTTTAGCACTCCACATCAGAATAAACAGAAACCAGTCTCTCAAGCAGCCCCCTGAAAAACAAGAATGTTGAACACATAGTCCACTCTTCTTTTTCCCTCTAAACAAGAAGCTAAGAGTTGGGAGCTTTCTCTTCATCACACAATGCTGTGCTAGGGAAGGGAGGGTTATGGTGAGCAAATACAATGAATTTTCTTACCCACTTCAGGAAAACTCTTCTTGGCTTTGTTCATACCTGGCATACCGCAACCACTTATCTCATTTCTGGAGTTCTCACAAAGGCAATTTGGTCTAATGTTGTTAATTCAGTGTCCCATGCAGTCCTGGAGCTTCCTTTTCCACCATCTTACTGTCATTATGCCCAAATTATAGATAACTTTTGCCATCCAAAATAATATAGCACTTAGAGTATGCCAAGTTAAATAAGATTATTACTTCTTGGGCTACAATATAAATGCTATAGTTAAATTTTCCATTTATTTTTTGTAGGTAAATTAATGCTGCTAGTTGTGAACATTTGGTGATGTGGATTCCCAAAGGGCAGGGTATTTGCACCTTTGGGATGCATGTATTTGCATCTTTTTATTATCCCTAATATCAAGCACAATATCTCATACAAAATAACCACCATGTAAAAGCTGCTTAGTGAATGTTGCCATCTGAGTTATGAAAACTTGCCTAGAGAACAAAGATCACTTTCATTGTTAAGGACTTTTTTCTTTTTTAAAGCTGTTCATGGTCAATACACATCCACCTAGGTTCTGCTTGCTTAAGGAGCTAATACCAAGGCTCCATACCATAATAACACTGATCCTTAATATTATTTTTCTCATTTAAAAAAAAATTTAGCTAAGTCCCTATTTTATTCAGATGTCCTTCATTTTTAACTAATGTTCTTTCTCTGTTTCAGGATGTCACATTACATTTAGTCATCATGTCTCCTTCAATTCTTCTTGGGTTGGAAAGTTTCTCAAACTTTCCTTGTTTCTTAATGATCTTGATAGTTCAGAAGAGTATTGGTCAGGTAATCTGTAGAATGCTCCTCAACTGTAATTTTTCTGATGGTTTTCTCATGATTAGACTGGGGTTATGATTGGAGAAGGAAAACTACAGAGGTAATGGGCCATTCTCATCACATCATGTCAAGGATACATGATATTAACATGACTTATCACTGTTGATGTTGCCTGATAACCTGACTGAGTAGTGCTTGTCTGGTTTCTCTAGTGGAAAGTTACTCTTATTTTTTGAAAGGAAATCACTATGTGCAGGACATTATCTTTCTGAAGAAGCTTAGCCTGTTATCTTGCAGAGGTTCCACATTCTAGTTTGCTTAACTTATTAGTGTCATTTAATTTGTTCCCTTAATCCTATATTTCCTGTAAAGTTTTGTTATATGTTTGGTGCTGTGTACATCACACTAGATGGCTCAAGGTGTCAGATGGACCCATATTAGCAATCATTTGGTTAAGATAGTAATAGCGGAGCTCTTCATTGTAAAAGTACATCTTTTTCTTTGCAATTAGTGAGAAATCTAAAAGGCATAGTTTAGAATCTCATTCTCTGTCCATGGACATCTGTGCCAGGAGAAATAATATACAAAGGTGATGGCCCAAAGCCCCCTTATCTTCTTGCTTATTACTTCAGTAGTCATTCATCCACTTGTTCATTCAACAAACATCTACTGAAGGTCTACTAAGTTCTGAGCAGTGTTTAGCTACTGGGACTATAAGGGGCAAGATGGGCTTTGTCTTCCAGAAGTACAGCCCAGTGCTAGGGAAAGGCAATCAAGAGTTTCAATGAAGTGCAATCAGTCAATCAGTCTACATTGGTAATAAGCACAAGGTGCTTTCTTTGGTGATTTTCATCATAAATGTTTACCATACTTTGTTCATATATTAAAGATTTTCAATAGCAAATGTTGAAACAGAGAGTTTGTAATTTAAACTTCATTTGATAGCTCCTTTAATCCATAAACATTCTTGTTAATTCTAGTTGTCTCCATAGAGGGACTTGCCCAGTTACTGCAAAAACAGAAATCTCTGGAGGTCAGCATGGCCTAGAGGAACAAATGTAGACTTCAGAGTCTAAAAGGATTGAACTCAAATACCCATTTCCCATTTAATAGCCCTGTTGACTAGCTTTATGATCTGGCACAAATTAGTTAACTTTTCTGAGTGATGGATTTCTATACATAAGCTAGAGAAAATACATACCTCCAAGGGTTTCTAGGAAAATTAAGCAAAATAACATACAAAGCACTTGGCAGAGTTCCCAAGTTCCTGGCATATAGTAAATATTTAATAAATAGTATTCCTGTTGAGAAACATCAAAATCTACAAAGTATGCATATAAGACAATTGCTCTGATAAGGCCATTTCTCCATTAGCAATATAAATACCACAAGACTAAAACTAATACCATGGCACTATTATAGGTAGAAGCTAGTTCATATTTTTCATTAGAGCAAAGGAAGCTGATAAGCCTTGAACAAAGTTTACAAATTCCCATCCACCTCTCCACTCTGTTGGCCCTTTCTACACACCCCTTCTGTGTGCCTGCAGTATGGAAGTAGTTAGGAGGTTCCAAGTCTATAGGACCAATAATATATCTGACACTGGGTTAAGTTTTAAAGGCATAAAGATGGTACCACTGAAACTATAGAGGTACAAACTCTTAGGAAGAAGGTCTGTGCTCCAGACAGAACATACATCACCTTTCTGCTCAGCCAGCTCCCACAGCTCCTGAGCTGCTGCCCAAGACAGTGTCATGGGGTATTCCACAAGGACGTGCTTGCCAGCATTAAGGAACTGCCTTTGGAAAAAAAAAGATAAATACAGAGCAACATACTACACATAAGCTTCACTAAAATACACTTCATGACAGGTAACAGAGTACTATAAATGCACAAATCTCTGTGTATATACATGTCATGAAGGAATACAGGTGAGAGTTAGGGCCAGAGGATGAGGAGGATGAATTGTACCTCACATTATTTTCTACTAAGGGAGTAAAAGGTATAAGAGAATGACTTTCTAGTTATGTATTAATTTGAACATTCAGCCATCATCTACTCATACATTCACTATTTACTGTTTACCAGTTACTCTGGAGGAGAAATAAGGACATGTGAACAAGTATGATTATAGCCATAAATAAAGACCACAAACTCCTAGGTAGCCAGCTCTGCCTGAGGCAGTCTGAAAAGATTTCACTAATGACATCTGAACCTTGGTCTTGAAGTATGAACAGGTATTTTCCAGAGACAACATCCAGGAAGAGGGTGCTTCATTTTGAGCAGCACACGCAGGGGCCTGGGTGTTGTATGGTGCACTGTCCATGTGCATAGTGGTATGAATCTCAGCATGGCAGGGAAATGGGCTACTAGGCAACAAAGTCATAAAAGTGGCTGGGAGCCTGACTGTGAAGAACTAGAATGCTATGCTCAGAAACTTGGGTTTTAGTCTCTAGATACTCTGAGATACAGTTATAAGCTGAGACTGTGCTGTTAGCTGCCAGGTTGTACATGGGGCTCCTCCTTCCAGGCTTAGTCCCACCAAATGCTTGAAGGTTTCTAGGCTTTGCAGTCAAAGGAGGGGCAGGGTGACACATCACTTCTCTTCCTCTGCGAATAATGTCATCTCCACCCTTTGATGCCACCACTACTTCCTTGGTCACTTATCTCATGGCAACACCACTTCACAATGATGTTGGAAGCTAAGTCACACTTAGAAAGAATGATGTACAAGGCTCAGAAAAATTGCTGGCTTTGTATCCTAAGTTATATGATGAGAAGAGGGAAGCCATGTCCAAACTACTTTCAGTACGTTCTTTAGAAAGAAACAAAACATTTTAATTCGTAACATTTCTAATGTTTTAACTTAGGTGTACTAAATAGAAACTAGTTTTAGTTTTCATTTCCTCAGACATTTATTACCAATAGTGAGGGTTTTTAACATTTTGAGAACAATTTTTAAAGGTCATAGAGCCACTGTAATTTTCCCATTGGTTATTAAGACCCCTTAGCAAGATTCCAGTCTGCTCAGCCATTTTTACAGTCCCACATGACTGTGCAAGGAGAGGACCACCTGCACTGAAAACCCACCTGATATAGTTCTCATGGCTGGAGCTTTCACTGCAGATATAAGCAACCTCAACCTCTTGGCTGGAAAGAGCTTCTTCTAAAGATATCTGCTGAACTCCATCAATGCTCTTGAGCTCTCGTCTATTTGAGAAAAACAGAAAAATGGCACTGAAACAAAGGTAGAATATCAAATAAATGAGCCCATCCTTCCCCTCTCCTCCCAATAATGTCCTGATAATCAGCTTTTAGAAATAAAGAAACCAATGTCTTCCCTCCCACTTTCAGGGCATTTTCCACCATGAGAAAAACATGCCTCAGGGTAGAAGTCAGGGGACTTGGCATAGAGCGCTAACATGACTGCTAACAGCCTGCATGACGTGGTCATCTCTGAATTACTTCATCTCTAAAATAAAGAGAACTGATCTCCTTTTATCTCCTGAGAAGTGATCTCTACAGTCACTGCTCGCTGAAGACACTTGGCCAACCACTAGGATGACTGAACCTCATCTAAGTCCAATACACTGACACCTCTGAAATACAATGTGCTTATGTCTTCAAGCTCCTTCACATACATCAAGCCAGCACGGGCTCATGACGATCAAGTAGAAGGTGGACCTCCCTGCCTCCTTTACAGCTGAGCTGACAAAGCAGGGGCTGCCATGTCTAACTAAAAGCAGAGGCAGGACAGGAGCCCTAAACCTTGTGTCTCTTACAGAATAAGAAGGAACTCCTGCTTTAGAAGAGAGCCCTGGCCATCTGCACACTGCCCCACCAGGCAGCAGTCCTCCACCAGTGGCTGTCACAGAGGAACTTGGGACAGCCAGCAGAAGGCTCTCGACCCACTCAGGACTCCCTTGTCCAGCACCCACAGGACAATTGGGGAAGTTTGGCTGCCAGAAAGTATTATGGTGGGTTTCTTCTATGGGGGCCACCAATCACCTTGCTCAACTTTACCAATACCTATTGCTGCCTACTGTGTGCTGGGCACTACAGGGAAGACCATGGAGAATGGATTAATTGTCCTCAGCTTCCAATGAGCTCATAGTCTGCTGGAGGGAAGAGGAGTCACATAACCTACACATAAGAAATAAGAACACAAGGAATGTTGTGCTGGAGGCACAGGAGGTGATTCAAGGAAAGGAAGGATCATCCAGTTTAGAGTTTCAGAAAAGGCTTTCTGGGGAGGTGGAAGGACTTAGCAGGCAGCTCATGAGAGCAGGGTGTGAAAAGTGGAACAGTGGGATAATAATGGCAGGGCAGCAGTAAAGCAGGGGTTGTGAGCCGGCCATCGTCTAACACGGCCAGGGTAATTTAGGGACTTCCCACTGCCTCAGGCATGCCAGCCAGCCAGCAGAGAGCTGGCTCTTAAGGAGGCTTCAGCCTTGGGCCTGAGTGTTACGCACAGGAGGCAGGAGGGGTGCAATGGGAGTTACAGTGCTGTTAATACTCTTGACCTCCCATTTGTATGCAGCTCCTTAGAATCTCACTGGGAGGGGAAGACTGACCAAGGGCAGATTCACAGCACTTCTGCTTCTCCCTAGTGCCCCAAAGTCTGCTTTAAACCCTTAAGGGAAGGGCCAGATTTTGAGACAAACTGGAAGAAAGTAGGTCCCATGAATTAAAATATGAAAAAACTTCTCCATGGACATCACAATGGTTGCTTATGGTTTGTGTTAAGTAATTATTTGATTTCTCTAAAGCACTAGAAAGTAGAGCGGTGCCTAACTCACTCGCTGTCACATCTTTTCAGCCAACACAGCACCTACCCGTAGGTCACAGTATTGGTAAGTGCTGTTTTGAAGCACTGGCTTAGTGAGTGGTGTGTCTGTGAGGAAGCGGTGAAAGGTGGGGGGTGGGGGAGCTGAGCATGAGCATGGGGCGGGGAAGAAGAAATACGGTGCTAAGTTAGATTTTGGCTGAGTTATAGGAAATAAATAAACCTTAAAGAAAAATGGGGTTCAAAATTATCAAAAGGAGAAGAACATGAGATTTAAAAGAATGGACTTTGGAATCAAATAGACTTACATTCAAATCCAGCTCTTAGACCTTCCAGCTGTGATGTACAGGAAAATTACTTAACTTCTCTGTGGCTCAGCTTCTTTGTCTGTAAGTGGGGTTGCTAATGATATCTATGTCGAAAAGTTAGTAAGGCTGTTGTAAAGCCCGGGGCCAGTGCACGGGACGGTAACTGTTATGGTAACTGATGTAACTGGTGCACATCTCCAGCCTCCTTTCAGGCCAGCCCACCTGTGTCTGCCGTGCCCCTTCTGTAACTATCAGGCCTTGTGCTCATCTTCCCAGCCTTCGTCTACACAGTCCCCTCTAGGCTAACAGACTGCACATCCAGTTCCCAGATGTATCGGAACCTGAGCTCTTGTAGGGCTGACCCCAAGCACAGGTCTCTGGACTGACCCCAGAGCTGTCTCTCCTGGGCCTGGAGCATCTCTGGGTCTGAGGCTTAATCCATCTCATTGAGCTTCACATGAACTACAAACCACAAGGCAAACACGAGCAACCTGGACACGAAGCCAATCAGGTTCAGGAACGCTGAGGAAGCATGTGGGTTCCGCAAGTCCCTCATCCGCACAGAGCCAGCTCTGCCAAGGCCAACCACCACCACGCCGAACCTCCTCTCGGGCTGAAACACAAGGGCCACGGTGGGGCTTACAAACAGTCCAGGATCGAGTGCAGAAAAGCAAAACAAAAACATGTTAGCAGGACCAGTCAGGAGCCAGCCAACCCGACACACACACCAAGCCCGTGGCACAGGAGCCGCAGGGCACTCTCTGACGTGAGGGCTGGAGAGAAGCCCACTCCATCCAGAGAGTATTTCTGCAGGTGCTCTGACCCATGTCAGCCCAGGCTCCTCGCATTTGGCTCCCCACTTCTACCACCACCTCTCCAGGGACGAACTGCCTCTGCAAGCCTTACCAGCCCATGGTCTACATACACTCCCTGAATCCTTTCTCCAAGGGACATGAAAATCTGATACAGCTGCGAGTAAGTCAGAGGCAACAGCTGCTCAGTGAGACGCTGGCAAAATGTGAGCTGTCACCTTACTCAGACTCCCTGCCGGGGCTTTCCAAGTTCCAACCAATTTCCCTCCCACTCCACTGTGGTAGCTGACTTATTATTTAGGTGTACTGCTGGCAGCTGTATTCAAATAATATCGTAATGAAGAACTCAAGTGGAACTTTTGAAGTTTATACAGCAATTCAATATAACCCAAACTGATAAAATCATCTGTATACATTCCTTAAACCCAGTTCTTGCATGTCTGTGAGTACAGAAACATGAACATCATCTCAGACCCATGCCTTTCCTTCACCTCGGATACCCGGCTGTAACCGTCTCCCAGCAATTCTGCCCCTCTCCTTGAATCCACTGCCCTAGTCTTGGCCCAAGACTTCTTTGCCTCCTGCAAAAACACCACTGGTCTTGCTGTTTCTCCTACAGCCTCCCCAAGCTGTCCACATCCCTGCCAAAAGCAGCTGCACAAGATGAAAACTGAATGAGTCCCTTCTCTGAGCAAAGCCCTTCATTTTCCCAGCTGTTACAAACTGAGTGTTTCCCAAACTTCACTTGGTGGGAATAACATCCTCCAGTAAGATGGCCTTTGCAAGGTATTTAGGACATGAGGGACTCTCATGAATAGGATTAGCACAGTCATGAGAGAGGGTGCTGAGCGTGCTTCCTCCCCCCGCTCTCTGCCCATGTGGGCCAGCAGCCTGCAGCCCAGAAGAGCTCTCACCAACCTGGCCATGCCGGCAGCCTGTCTGGGACTTCCAGCCTCCAGAACTGTGAGAAACAAACTTCTGTTGTTCAAGCCACCCAGTCTGTGGGACGTTATTACAGCAGCTCAAACTGACTAAGACACCAACTAAAGAAAGAAAACTGTCCAAGTCCCAGTTCTTTTTTTCAAAATATCAAGTCACTATGCTGTATACCTGAAACCAATATGCTATGTGTCAATTATACCTCAATTAAAAAACACTTGAACATGAAAAAAAAAGCCCCTCCAGCCCCTTGGCACTCATGGAACAAACATGACCACTTTCATTCTCCACCCCTGCCCCCCCATCCAAGCATATTTCCCTCACTCTCTCCCATCTCAGTAAATGTCATACCATCCACTCAGTTGCTCAGGTCCTTAAACTTGTAGATACCCTTGACTTTTTTCTTTCTCCCACACCCAATTCATCACCAAATAACCCACAAGCGTTCTATCTACCTCTGTCTATCTTCAATGCTGCCTTCCTGATTTCCCGTCCAATGCCTTGGACTATTTAGAAGCTTTATCACTGGTTCCCCTGCTTTACCTCTTGTCCTATTCTGTCTATTCTTCAAATGTTCTTTAAACTAATCATAATCAGATGATGTTACCTTCCTCCCCTCCCTCGCCACCTTACAACTCTCCAGAAGCACCCATCATACTCAGAATAAAACCCAAAACACTTGCCGTGGCCTACAAAGGCTTTCATGGTCTGGCCCCTGCCTTTCTCTCTTAGCTTGTCTTCAACCCGCACTGGCCTTCTCCCTGCTTTTTTAGCATGCCACAGTCATTTGCACCTCGGGCCTTTGCACTCATGGTTAACTGTGAACAGTGTCAAGCTCTGGGGATGTATTGTGGGCAGACCCTACTCTTACCGATCTCTTGAAGAGGGAAGTGAGCAAACAAGCCAAACAAGCAAGATAGTACACACTGTGAGGATAAATACAGTGGCGTAAAGGGATGGAGAATGATGGGAAGGGTGCCTCAAGTTTGATAGGGTGGTGAGGGAAGGCTTCTCTAAGAAGGCAGCTTTGAGTGCAGACCCAAATAAACTGAGGGGGTGAACCACACAGGTATCTGGGGAAGAGGTAGGAGCTCTTTCAAACAGTCCAAGGTAGGCACATAGCTGCAGGGCTTGGATGGTAGCTACGTCATAAAACAGGCAACAAAGTCTTGTAATTAAGTATGAGTGTCTTCACCAAAGACTTCTTTACCAAACATATAAGGCCTTCTACCGCTTGTTGAAGCCTGCTTCCCCAGCACTGTGTTCACGTCACTTCTCCTACTGTGCAGTCCTAGGCTCTGACCTTCCTAATAACCTGAAAGTATGCAGAATATGCACAACTGTTTGCTACCTCTAAGTCTTTGCAAATCCTGTTCCCCTGAAACTGCTCCCTACTGCCCACAGGTGGACACCTACAAAGACTTCAAGAGTCAGGCATCTGATACTCTGTGAAGCCCTTCCTGATGTTATCAGTTTCTTTCTTTCCTTTTTTTTTTTGGCATCTAATAAAATTCACCCATTTTAATGTACAGTTCTATGAGTTTTGACCAATGTATACTAATGTAACTACCACAATCAAAATACAGAATGGTTCTATCACCTTCCTCCAAAATTACCTGTGCCCCTTTGTAGTCAAACCCTCCTCCTGCCCCAGGCAACCACTGGTTTGTTTACCATCCCAACAGTTCTGCCTTTTTCAAAATGTCATATAAACAAAGTCATTTGATATGCAGCCTTTGAGTCTGGCTTAACTTAGCACAATGCATTTTTCAACTATGCTATTGCATGTATCAGAATTTTTTTCTTTTTTTTACTGAGTAATAGTAGTCCACTGTATGCATACACTGGTTTATCCATTCAGCAATGAAGAAGACTTCTGATGCTCCCAGTTAGAATGAATTCATAATTCATTCAAAAATGAATAAAGCTGCTGTAGATAGCCATATACTAGTTTTTGTGTAAACACAGTTCTTATTTAACCTGGGGAAATACCTGGGAATGAGACTCCTGGGTCATACAGCAAGTTTAGGTTCAACTTTACGACAAATGGCAAAATTGTTTTCCAGGTATACCTTAGAATGGCTTATACTGTACTGTTTTGCATTCCCACCACTGACATATGAGAGTTTCGGTGGTTCTGCATTCTCACTAACAGCTGCTATTAATCAGACTTTTCTCTTTTTTATTTTAGCCACTATAGTAGGTGTGTTGTGGAATCTCTCTGTGGTTTCTCTGTACATTGCCATAATGACTAGCAATGTTGTGCGCTGCCTCACATATTCAATGGCCATCTGTATGTCTTCACTGGTCAAGTGTCCTTACCTTTGTGACTTTTTAATCAGGTTGCTTTCTTATTGTTGATTTAGAGGAGTTTGTTATACATTTTTGATACAATTCATTTTTCAGATATGTAATTTTCAAACTTGTCTGTAGGTTGTCTTTTCATTTTCTTGAGATTGTCTTTCGAGAAGCAAAAGGTCTTGATTTTAATGAAGTCCAAACTTATCAAAAAATTTTAATGGGTCATTCCTCTGGCTTAACCTAATGTCACAGAAATTTTCTCCTGTTTTTATAGTTTAAAGTTTATAGTGTTAGATTACTTTATGTATAATTCATCACTTAATAATTTATGTTTTGATTTGAATTTATTTTTGTATATGGCATAAGGTATGGCTCAAGGTTCCTTTTTTTACTTTTGCAAGCAGAGGGGCAGCATCCAGAATGTACAGTCATTCCAGTCTGTCAACTGCCTACCATGAGGCAGTGGTATGCCAGACCTGCATACGACCCCTTAGTGAAGTAGGCAGTAATAAAAGACCAAGCTTAAGGCACTATTGAGGATTTTCATTTCACTGACATCTTTACCTGAACCTTCCTCAACCTCACTGTCAAGAGCATCATCCATAAAATGATCCACTTCTTCAAGTTTTAGATAATTTGTTTCCCATCATTGTTAACCTTGGCAATATTATAGAGAGTCTATGCTAACCTCCTCCTTGCCTAACAGGAAATATTCAACTTGCTACATAAACAGCAGCATGGCTTCCATTACCATGATACATGACAAAAGGACAAAAATAAATACATTAAAAGAAATATACAATGTTGAGAACTGTAGCTCATTAGTATGAGTATATCCAATCTAACCAGTCTCCACGGACATCTTCATTAGCACTGGATTTACCCTGTGCATTCATTTAAACATTCTCATTCATGGGTAATTTTCTTTGACCACTAGGTTTGTATCTGGTGGGGATTACTCTCCAGGAACATATACCAAATTTAGAGGCTCTGAAGCAGCAGGCTGGGCTGGGTTGGTATCTAATGTGGTGAAACTGTAGCTTGATATTGCACATAATAGCACATTACATCAATGAGCATACATATATTTGCCACTGCAGCATCTGCAGTGGGCTAAAAGCAGAATACACTGGGAGTCTAGGTGGAAAAGCTTGCCCAAGAAACTGTCTATATTTCTTTGCATTATATGTGGTGGAGGATGGGAGCGTCTGATCTTGATTATTTTGAACTAGAGCCAATGCTTCATGAGTTTCTCTCTTGGTGCTGGGTTTTGGAGAACTGAGAGGCATTCATTAAGTACACAAATGATACACCATATGACACTCATCTTGTTTTCTGATAATGTCTTCTGGCTACAAATGATCAGACTCTGCCCAAAAAACCCTGATCTTTTGTCAAATTTCCCATGGTTCAGGAAATCAGGACCTGGATCAGCTGGGTCCTCTGCTCAGCATCTCACAAGACTGCAGTCAAGAGCTGACCAGGTTATATCCTCCTCTACAAGCTCAGCTTTCTCTTCCAAGTTCATGTAGTTGCCAGCAGAATTCAGTTCCTTACAGTT